TTTTATAAATACATATAAATATATATATTATTTACATATATAAATGATAACAGCAGTGTCATCCTAGTAGGAACAAGGAGGAGACAGATTCTTCTCTCATAGTTCCTCCTAAGATTTATCTGTCCTAAGCCTATATCTGTCTCGTGCATCTAGGCTATTTGTGTCTTTGTTAGCAGTGCTGGTTCAACAGCTTAGCCTTCATATCACCTGTCCTTGATTTATAAAATAAGGATGATAATGTCTAAGTTCATGGCATTGTTGTGGTCCAAATGAGGTAATGTAATGTATAAAGATTGTTAACCTGCTTGGCGCATAATAGGTTTTCCATAAATGATGATTTTCTTTCCCCTACCCTATGTAGATCAGAGGCTGAAAAGTCCAACACTGCGGGCTATTTTTGTATAGGGGTTTGCTATAGTGTAGATTCAGGATACAACACACTCACCTTTGGAAAGGGCACTATACTTCTTGTCTCTCCAGGTAAATATTGACCCCATCTCACCCCAGTTTTCCTCTTATATGATTTAAGGCATCTACATGTCTTACTGTGGTTTACCCTTATGGATATGTCATCCTTGTTTCATTAGCTGACCTACGAATTTAAGGTTGAGCCTTCGTAGGGGGACTTTTAAAAATGAAAATAGCTAACAGAAAAGTTGGAAGTAAAAGTAAAATTAAATCAATAGGTCAGAATGGAGTAGAAACTAACATCCTAGATAATTAGGGGAAACTTGTTTCTCCACAAAAAGCCTGGCTTCCTGTGTAAAGCCTGGACTGTAGTCTCCCTCCAGGCATCTCTCCTGTTCCTCTTACTCTCTATATCTCAAATTTAGTTGTGGAACCTTGGACAATCTGGTGACATATATAGCTACAGAAATTTTTCATTACTGAGAAGATTTGCCTATTAAAACTGAAAGATCCTTGAGAGCAGAGTCTCTTCTTATATCCTGCGAAGTGTCTAACATGGTCCTTTTACAAAATGCTTGATTAAATGCTTCTTTAATTGAAATCAAGTGTCCAGGCAAAAGGGCAAAAGAGAATAAAGTAAATGCCACAATACATTCAGTTTGTGGTGGAAAGGGGAAAACACTAGATTGAGAATCAAACTGACTCATGTTTTGGTCTTTGCTACCAGCTAGCACTGTAACTTAGATCTCTTGCCTCCCGGCCTTAATTTTCTCATCTATAAATTGGAAAGTAGATCTAGATGACCTCTCTGAATTTATTCTATTTGGGGTTATTGGGAGAATTTATTCTATTTGGGGTTATTGGGAGAGCTTTTTTCTCATATGAATAAGTCAAATAGCCATATTAAATCTTGAGTGTTTTCTAACTCATTAGGCAAATCAGGAAAATAGGTGAAGTGACAGAGGGAGTTTATTATGAGGCATCAGATACTGTGGGACTCATGGGGAGGAACAAACAAACTCACCTTTGGGACAGGCACCTGGCTGAAAGTTGAGCTGAGTAAGTGTGAGATTTTATGGTAACTACAAAATATATTCTGATGGTGGAGAGCAGGAGAAAAGGAAAGTCATGTGTCTTATTTATAATTAACCATAATCTAGTGTTGAAGTATTAAGATTGTTGGCACCCAGCTAAATTAGTAAAAGTACTCAAAGTCTATATGAATGCATTTTCTTTGGTGTGGAATTTAGCAAACCATTAAGATTTTTCCCAAGATACAAAGCTGAGAGAGCTCTGTCTAATATTAGAGTTTTTAGCCCTAGAACTGAGCTAAATGGAGCCTGATAAAGGAAAAAAGTTAGAAGAGAAAAAAATTGCCTGGCCATGATCTAATTAATAGGCCCTTTCTACTTCCCACTACCATTAATTCAGAGACCCATTGTGGAGCGGATATTCAAGGTCATTTTATCCAAGCCCAAATAAGCTGTACTCAGTCACTTTAGAGATTGCGTCTCTTTACACTAAACATTGTTCAAGAAGAGTCAGTGAAGTTCAGAGAAAGGAGCCCGGAGCTTCTGGTTTCAGCCTAGTTCTAGATTTGATTTGGCCTCAACTAACAGTATGACATTGAGCAAGCCATTGCCCCTCTGTGGGCCTTATACTCCTCCAGTGTGAGATGCAAAGGTAGAAAACCTCAAAAGTCTGTGGTCTGGGATCTCGCTCCTATACCACCCCAGATTTTATATGACTCAATGGACTTTTATGGTTATTTCATAAACAAATTCTATAACCCTAAGGAAATAACCTTGTTAATCAATAATCTAACAACATAGAAATAATAACCACCTTCTCAGGCCTATGATGTATATGATGCTAAGTGCAAGACATATGGTATTGTTTGTCTTAAAACAACTCTATGGGGCAGCAGGCAGTATCCCTATTTTACAGAAGAAGAAACTGAGGCTCAGAGAAATAATGGTCCAAGATCCCAAGATTAGTGAGTGACAAGTTCTAGATTCAAACCAGGGTCTGCCTGCTTGATCTCAAAGCCTTGCTCTTTCTACTACATTATGTCACAGACTCTGTGCCAGGACTTATTTAGAAATGATAGATGATGCCAATCACAGTAAGTAAGGAAATACATGGAATTTATCTTTTGTATTCTTAGATGTTGCCATGGCTTAGAGATAGAGCTTTGGGAAATCTTGACTTGAATACCTCAAATGAACAATGGATTCTCTTTCTTTATTAATGAAGAAACAAAAAGTACAAGGGCTACTGGGAGCATTTACCCCAATAGAAAGAGGAGAGAGAGAAGCTGGCAGCAGCCACTTTCTTGCTCTGATTTCTCTTTTCTCTCGCTATTTCTTAAATTTTGCCCAGGTAGACCAGTCACCAGTGTAACTGATCTGCAAGTACCTGACTTTTTTGTGAGTTATAGAGAAATGTAACATTGAGGGCTCTTCGGACATTGCTGGATCATAGAATTTAGCCCTGAAAGGGAGCTTAGAAATCACCTTATTCAGACTTCTTTATTTTTCTAATAAGAAAATTAAGCCCCAGGGAGTTTGTCTGAACTGTCCAATATCATAAAGTCAGTGAGAACTAGGGCTGAGACTAAAACCTGGGGATCCTGGTCCCTTGATCTCACAGAATAGTGACTACCGTTTAATGAACTGAACTTCCAGTAGGTAGGAGGTGTGAGATATGTTCATGAACAGGGAAGGAAAAGACAGATGGGTTTTACTAGGGGAGTATAAAAAAGTGCTCTTATTATTAGCACCTTCCCAGAGGTTTCCTAGACCTGCTCCCCAGCTGTGGTATAAAAATGGAAGGCGAAGGAAATGGCTCATTTTGTGACAGCACAAATCACTGTGGGAAATACTGGAAGCTTCAAAGTTGTCTTTGGGACAGGAACAAGACTATCTGTTAAAGCAAGTAAGTTCCATGAAATAACCTGATTTGTATTACAGTTGAGGGACATCTGTCTTTATTGATTTGTTTGGGGGATGGGGGATCATAGTTTTTTTGTCTGCTATTTAAATAAGAAGATAAGTTAGAGATGATAATGTTGCCTTATATAGTATACACGAGCGTCATTCATGCGAGAAACATTTACCAAGCCCTTAATAGGTGTGGATGGATAAAACTATACTAGGTCCTGTCTGGAACTAAAACTCTGTAATTAATCAAATGACTCTTTCAACCTGAATGGTCATGACCTTTTTTTATATAATCCACACTATACAAAGCAGTATCTCCTATTGGATTGTGTCTTATTTCTTGGCCTCTTCCAATGGTCTTGGGAAAATGAAGGTTAAGTAGTTAAATTATATGCCTCCTCCCACTGTGGTACATGCAGAGATGCAGAAACCTGCTTAGCACTAACTCGTGTGTGACTTAGGTCTCCCAGGGTGTGGCCCCGTTACAGGGCACCATTCTGTACAGAAATGTGTCAGAGTGTGAATACAGGCTATCAGACACTCGTGTTCGGAAGTGGCACCCGACTTTTGATCATCCCAAGTAAGTCAAATCTCCAGAAATGTGTAGCCCTACCTCCAATATTGGGTTTACATTTTTTTATGTAGCATTTAGGATGGTCTATAATAGAATATCATTATTATTATTATTATTACTATTATTACTATTTTGTCACTATCGATCATAACAATACTGCTAACTTGGAATATATATTTTTCTTCCATATTATTCTTTTTACCCTTTAAGGAGACCCAATACCAAGAAAAATATTTGCGTTTACTTTGGAGTCTAGAACAACTTACTTGTTCATTCAGTTTCCCTCTCTTTGCTGAGGTTCCATACAAACCTCACAATGTTTTGGTTTTTATACCACCTCCTGATTATCTCTCTTAGAAATGCTTCCTTGGTTTTTACCCTAACTAAGCACTTCGATTTTGCAGCTCATATTTGCCAAAGTATACTTAGCTTTTAACCTCTCCCAAAACAGCCCTTCTTATCCCAATAATTAAGTACAGTAAAAGTCAATTCAGTTCATTAAATGGTTACTGAATATCATCAACAAGCCAGGGACTATATTTGGTTTTTTATAAAGAGACAAAGAAAAGAATATAAGAAAATGTCCCTGCTCTCAAGAACTTCCAGTCTTATCAGAGAAACAAAACAATTTATATGTGAATGTGCCAAGATACGTGCGATGCTTGGTCCTGCACAGGATGAGAGGGCTGGAGGCAGGACAGCGGTGACAATGGACAGTCCACATCCCAGGCAGAAAGCAAACACAATTTATTCGTGTGTTTCTGGAAGAGGATTTAAGTCTGTTTATCTGCAGAGATGTTTGACTTTCTTGAGGACAAAAAGTTCCTTAGCGGTAAGCTTCCTTGAGTGAGGTGAGGATAGAAACAGGAATGAGTCATCAGGAGTCTTGTTCAGTGCAAGGAAACAAGGTGACTCTGAGTCACACTGAGGCACGTTTGTAACATGTGCCATAGCACGGCATGCTGGAAATGATCTTGCTCCTGTTCTTTCTGGTAAAGTGAAAAATATATTTTTGCGTATGTCCCCAAGTAAATGGTGTCTTCTTGTCAGACGTGGCAACTGACGTGGGAAAATACCTACCTGCTGCCAGGTGTCTCTAGAAATACACCCACCATGCCTATGTAGAGGCAGGTGTTTCACTTTTTGTTTGTTTTTTGTTTTTCACATTTTTTAAAGGCTCTGTTTACCTAGAGGAGAAATAGTCAGAGGCTGTGTTTGTTGATAGCTGTGAAGAGGAAAATGTAGGCCAATGAGTATCTTGGGGCTGGTGCTGTTACTCCAATTAGGGAGGCTCCTTCAAGTCCCCATACCACCCCTTTCAGGAAAAACATTAGGGTCAGCCTTTCCGGGTTCCCAGCTTTTAGAGCTACAGTGAAGAGTGTGTGCCCTTCATGAGACAATGAGCAAGCAATACCTGGACCTTTTTGTAATGCCCTTACCCAGAGTGTGACTATGGAAACAACAGATTCACTTTTGGGAAGGGGACCCAAGTGGTCGTCACACCAAGTAAGTGAGCCAGGATCCTTCTATAGAAATGACCCCCCTCTACCCTACACACCGCCGTGCCTACCTTTCATATTGGACAACTTCTTATTTCCCTAGTAGAGGGGGAGGACGTGTCTTTAACTAATGCTACAGCTAAGGTTCTTAGGCGGCCACTGTCCTAAGCCTTCGCCTGCCCCTTGTTTCCTCTACCCTCCCCTTCTCTCAGCATCTCTACTGACCACACTCCCATCCTCTATGAAACCTGCCCCTGCTCTCCCCTGAGACTGGGTTTCAAACTGAACAAAGGACCTCAGAAGCTAGAGCTGGAAGGGACTTTGGGGACTTCTTGCTCGTGTCGTAGGGAGATCCAGAGGCCCAAAGTCTGAGCATCTGTCCGAGGCCATGCTGGGCGGGCAGCTCAGGGCCGGGTCAGGGCTCCAGCCTCCCTCCCACACTCCCGAGTCTGAGTCTGGCATTGCCACACAGCTCTTGGCTAGCGTGGCCCTCAAGTCCAGTGTAAGTTCAGCTGAGGGCCAGCAGCACACAGTGGCCAGAGAACTGAGGGCCTTGGCTCAGAACGGTGGCCCAGGCCATGACTTCTGTGAGCTTCAGCTTTCATGTCTCTGAAGTCTCCTACTTGAGAGCATGATCTCTGTTTCTTCCCATCTTTCAGAAACGTTACAGAAATCATTTGACTTTTTTCTCTGTCCTAGGTTTTCATAAAAGCAGGGCCCTATCTGAATGAAGGTTATTAGAAATAAAGGATTCAAAGAGCTTTGAGTGCCTTGGCTATCTCCAGGTAGTAAAGGGGGAAGGAAGGGCATGGATCCTACTTGGAGTCTGGCCAGGGACAAGGTTCTGCAAGGATCAACTCCCTGAGTCTCACGAGAAAAGAAGGTTAGGAAGGGGAAGTTTCGAAGAGTAAAGGAAAGGGAAAAACGAGAACAGGAGAGTGTCCAGGAAAGGCAGTCAGAACGCCTTCGGCACAATATAATATCGAATCTCCTTTGCCCTCCATCCTCAGAGCACGTTTAGGAGCCCCTGTATCTGACAACAAAGTCAGGCCCTTGGTGCTGCCCCCAAGCAGGCAGGATGGTGGTGGTGGTATTGGGAGTTGCTGCCTGCTGCTCTGCTGACAGGAATGTGTTTTCTCCCAGAGAAGGAAGGTGGTGAGGAGCTCTCCAGTCCTCAACCCCTGGCTCCCATCACTGCCCTCGGCACCAAGGCTCAGGGGTCAAGGACAGTTGTGGGTGGTTTCCCCGAAACGCTGGGAGCACTGGTCAGCGTTTCCCTGGACTGTCGCACTACTGGGGCAATCGATAGAGGGGGCGCCACATGAGACGGGTTTTATCAAAGGCTTTCCTCGCTGTGTGTATCAGGAGGGAGCTACGGACTTACATTTGGAAAAGGGACCCGCCTTGTTGTTCATCCGAGTGAGTATTAAAGAAACGATCAAGGGAAACTTTGTAGACAGAAATACATTTCGGAAGGATGTCACGATAATAAGTCTGTGATGTGGTCTGCTCGTTGTTAAAGGAGTCCTTTATTGCCTGAGAGTAATTTATCAGTGTGTCAGGTCTAATGAAATGATTGAGGCTGTGCTGGACAAGGGTTTTGCACAGGGCTTTCAGAGGACAAATGCCCAAGTGTTGAGAAAAGAGATTTCATTCTTGATTAGATTGCTAAAGCAGGACTTTCTTCTTGGCAGCCAAGGGGTCTACACTGCTCCTCACTCTGTGGCTGAAGCTCTCCCTTAGTACCCTCCCTTGGATCCATGAGATATTCATCTTACATGAGAACATCTCAGCCAGAGTGCTGAGACACCCAGGGGTGCCCGAGGGGGTGGTGGAGGAGGGACTGGTCTCAGGCTCCGAGAAGCTGCTTCCCTTTCCCGCAGTGTAAAGCGTTGCTAGAATCATTCTATTATTAGCTCCTCTTTACTGAATGTCTGACAAGTGCCAATGCCTACACTTTGTCCCACATATAATTTCTCGTTTGGTGCTCATGTCCATCCTAGTATTACTTAGCTGGTATTATTTCCATTTTACAGGTGTGGAAACAGGCTTGGGGCAAGTAACTTGCCCAAGATCACACAACTAGGAATGACAAAGCTAGATTTCACTTTAGGGCCTTTTCATTAACCATGCCACTACATTGCTACCACTGTCCCTTCTGCATTCTGCGAAGAAAGACACCAGACCTCAAAAGCCACCTGTTTGGTCTTTGGTTGGCCCATCCTGAGCCTTCTTGACATGGTGACCACGGCAGCCTTGGTATAAGATTCAGCATTTCTAAAGAAATAGTCAACTCATTAAATTGGGCTGACGGGCTGCAGATATGGCAGGGAGGGAAGTAGAAACCTAAGGGAACAGTTTATTGAGCATCAGGTGGCACAGAGAGAAATTCATCATCAAAACCATGGAATGGAACAGGCTATTTAAAAGCTCTGTTACCAAGCGTGAAGGCTGTAATGTGGGAGAGGGCCCAGCAGCCACGCCAGACGGCAGAGGGCAGGTATTTGTACTGGACTGTACCAGGGTGTGGACACAGGCAGCAGAACACTCACTTTTGGGAGTGGAACGAAACTCCAAGTGAATCCAAGTAAGTGCCTGACCTTAGACTCGCCAAAGACACAGAAAGTCCCTACTTGACTTTCTTATATGATGAATCTGCACTTCCTGAGCTGATTTCTCATGTTTCCTTATGAGGCTTGAATGTTCTGAAATTTGAATTCCCAGCCACTGGCTCAGTAGTGGTTTATTTTCTTACAGTAGTAATTGCCAGGGGGAATTGGCCTTTTCATTATTACAGAGGCAGACTCTTTTGCTGTTTTTAGGTTCCTTTGAGACAAAAGATCTTTATCAAAGAAGACATTGTGACCAATTACGCCAAAAAATTTATTTTTGTTGCCATCTAGTTTTCGTGAAAGGTGATAAATTAAACTTCCCAAAGACCCTGGGTGTTGAACACACTCTCACAAAAC